GGCTCTGGGATATCCGGTTTCTGAGATCTCGGAAACAAACCTTTTTTGAGCCCGTTTGGCCATTAGCGACCTTGACCTTGACCTACTTGCATAAAAGTAGGTCATTACATGTGGATTCACCTCAGTATCACTGACTATAAGGGCCATAGCCATACGGCTTATACTTAAGGCCTATTGTCAATTTCAAATTTTACAAATTTTGCCATTAAAAGCCCCTGTGACCTTGAAAAGTAGGTCAAGGTCACTGAAACTGGGTCTGTGGCATATTCTGGCCATAGGCTACCTATGATAATTATTTCAGATTTTTTGCGAAAAAAAACGCGTGGAAAGAATAATAATAAATACTAGACTGCAACTGGCTGAAGCCACTGGCGGAGGATTCCCCTGCAAAATAGGTGTGGAAATGCTCTTACAAGGCCATGTGAAGGTCATGGGTTAAATTTGACCCAATATTCTGAAAGAGCATGTGCGAATTGGGGGAGGGGGGTCAACAAAACATCACCTTTAGCCCACTTCAATATTTCTCCATGAAATAGCCAAATGACCTTGAAAATGAGGGTCAAGGTCAAATTTGACATTTGATTTGGGGGTTTTGGGTATATGTTTGGGGTAGTTTACTATAGCATGCTATTACCAAAAACCAGTGTTTCATGGAGAAATTGCCAAACTCAAGATTTCTGCAATGTCATAAATATTTAAAAATCTATATTAAAAAAAGTAATTAGGCAGTTGCTACCAAAGTACGGCTAACCTTAGATATATATATAGGGCATCATTTGCCACTATGATTGGGGCTCTGGGCCTTCCGGTTCTTGAGATCTCGGAAACAAACCTTTTTTGATCCCGTTTGCCCATTAGCGACCTTGACCTTGACCTACTTGCATAAAAGTAGGTCATTATCTGTGGATTCTCCTCAGTATCACTGGCCATAAGGCTCTTAGCCATATGGCTTATACTTTAGGCCTAATGGCAATTTCAAATTTTACAAATTTTGCCTTTAAATGCCCCTGTGACCTTGAAAAGTAGGTCAAGGTCACTGAAACTGGTTCTGTGGCATATTCTGACCATAGGCTACCTATGATAATTATTTCAGATTTTTTTGCGAAAAAAAACGCGCGGAAAGAATAATAATAAAAATAATACCAAAAACAATAGTATTCCCCTATGGGGAATCCTAATAATACCAAAAACAATAGTATTCCCCTATGGGGAATCCTAATAATAATACCAAAAACAATAGTATTCCCCTATGGGGAATCTTAATAATACCAAAAACAATAGTATTCCCCTATGGGGAATCCTAATAACTATAATACTACCAAAAACAATAGTATTCCCCTATGGGGAATCCTAATAACTATAATACTACCAAAAACAATAGTATTCCCCTATGGGGAATCCTAATAATGATGACAGTCATTGAAATATCTATTTGCCATCTGTAAATAGATCATGTGTTTCAAATATTTCTGATATCACCATCACTGAGGAGAGTGTCCTAAAATTACTTAAAAACATCAAAACTACTAAGGCACCAGGGCCTGATTCTATTCCTTACTGTGTCTTGAAAGAATGTGCAATCGTCCTCGTCCCAAGTATCACGCTACTCTTCCAAAAGTCAATCGATACTGGTAGCCTAGCTCGTGACTGGATTAATGCAAACATAGCACCAATCTTCAAAAAGGGTGATCGTCATCTACCTGAAAACTATCGCCCAGTATCTTTGACATCCGTGCTTAGTAAACTATTAGAACATATTGTATTTCGCCATATGTTGCAATACTTTGAACAAAACAATGTCTTGACTTCTCTAAATCATGGCTTTCGTCCAGGATATTCGTGCGAAACACAGCTAGCAGTGACATTAGACGACCTCACATCTAGCTTTGATCTTGGAACACAGACAGACATCGCAATACTAGATTTTTCTAAGGCACTCGATTCGGCACCGCATAACAAACTACTCCATAAGCTACACGCTTACGGGATACGAGGCAAAATACATCGGTGGATTGCATCTTTCTTGTGTAATCGTCAAATTAAGGTAGTTGTTGAAGGTAAGAGTTCAAGATAAGTGAATGTCGCGTCTGGAGTACCACAAGGGACAGTACTAGGCCCTCTTCTCTTCCTTTGCCATATTAATGATCTACCGGACACTGTAAAATCCATGTACGCCTCTTCACTGATGATTGCTTACTATATAGGGAGATATCTTCTCAAAAAGACCACATAACTCTTCAACAAGACCTCGTAAACCTAGAAAATTAGGCCACGAAATGGGGCATGCGATTCAATGCTTCCAAATGTTACATTCTTAGTGTCCGCCAGAAATCTTCATTCTTCTACCAACTGGATAACACGGTACTTAAAAATGTCCAGACTTACCCATACTCAGGAGTCATGCTTTCTTCTGACCTGAAATAGTCAACTCACATAAACAACATATGTAAAAAGGCCAGTATCACACGGTTGCACAATCTTTCAAGACACACTAGTATTCATTAGAAGAAATCTATGCCACAGTCCAGCGCTCACACGAAGGTCAGCGTACATAGCTCTTGTTCGCTCCACTCTAGAATATGGTGCCATCATATGGGAACCCTACTTAAAATCAGACATTGACATTTTGGAAAAAAATTCAAAGAAAACCTGCACGTTTCATCACTGCGGATTACAAGTCTCAATCTCCAGGTAGTGTCACCTCCATGCTGAAATCACTAGATCTTCAACTACTGCAGTACCGGAGGAAGGAACTGCGGCTAACTTTTCTTTTCAAGGTGATTGAGGGGTTGGTACTAGCGATACCTCCTGACACTTACTTAGTACCAGCTTCCAACAAACGTCGCATAAGGGCTCAATCATTCACTGACTTTGATTCTGAAAATATTGTAAACAGTTCTAACAACAGTCGCTGTTACTGCTTACAACGCTGCAACACACTCGTCAGGAAAAAACTCTTTCTTCGTCGAAACAGATTCCGATTGGAATGGACAGAGTGATCAACAAGTTAATGTTGAAACAGTGGAAGGCTTTAGATCAGGCCTACACAGTGACTAAGTTTCCCATGCGCTCTCTTCTTTCCGTCTATCTTATACCAGTAGTGGTCCTTTTAGACGTAATTGGACAGATACCGATATAGATCTGTTCTTCTCCCCAAAGTAAAACTCACCGTTACAGTGTTTAGTGCCATACAATACATAACCAGATCTACACGTGCACTTGTAGCTTCCTGCAGTGTTCACACAATTGTGTTGACAGCCATGGAACCCCGTGCATTCGTTAATATCTGCAACAAAGTATATGACAACTAAGAGGATGTACTTAATGCACAAATGGTTTCTGCATTCTCTTGAGTGCATGACAAGATATAATAATAATAATAATAATAATAATAATAATAATAATAATAGAAGACAATTATTGAAATATCTGTTCTCTCCCCAAAGTAAAAACTCACCGTTACAGTTTTTAGTGCCAGACAATACATATCCAGTTCTACACGTGCACTTGTAGCTTCCTGCAGTGTTCACACAGTTGTGTTGACAGCCATGGTAACCCGTGCATTCGTTGATATCTGCAACAAAGTATAAGACAACAAATAGGATGCACTTAATGCACAAACAGTTTCTGCATTCTCTTAAATGCTTGACAAGACAATTTGAAAAAGTACTTCTAATTGCTAACTTCTATTACAACTATTAATTCGTACTACTACTACTACATCTCCTCCTCCTCCTCCTCCTCCTACTACTACTACTACAGTTTACTACTACTACTACAGTGTACTACTACTACTACTACTACTACTACAGTTTACTACTACTACTACTACTACTACTACTACTACAGTGTACTACTACTGCTACTACTACTACAGTTTACTACTACAGTTTACTGCTATTACTACTACTATAGTTTACTAATACTACTACAGTTTACTACTACTAATACTACTACAGTTTAATACTACTACTACTACTACTACTACTACTACTACTACAGTGTACTACTACTATTACTACTACTACTACTACTACTACTACAGTTTACTAATACTACTACAGTTTACTATTACTAATACTACTACAGTTTAATACTACTACTACTACTACTACTACAGTGTACTACTACAACTGCTACTACAGTTTACTAATACTACTACAGTTTACTATTACTAATACTACTACAGTTTAATACTACTACAACTACTACTACTACAGTGTACTACTACTACTACTACAGTTTACTACTACTACTACTACTACTACTACTACTACTACTACTACAGTGTACTACTACTAGTAGTAGTAATACAGTTTACTACTACTACTAGTACTACTACAGTGTACTACTACTACTACTACTACTACTGCTTCTACTACTACTACTACTACTACTACTACAGTTTACTACTACTACTACTACTACTACTACTACTACTACTACTACTGTTGCTTCTACTACTTCTACTACTACAGTGTACTACTACAACTGCTACTACTACTACTACTACTACAGTTTACTACTATTACTACTACTACTACTACTACTACTACTACTACTACAATTTACTAATACTACTACAGTTTACTACTACTACTACTACTACTACTACAGTTTACTACTACTACTACTACTACTACTACTACTACTGCTACTACTACTACTACAGTTTACTACTACTACTACTACTACAGTGTACTACTACTACTACAGTTTACTACTACTACTACTACTACTACTAATGCTACTACAGTTTACTACTACTACTACTACTACTACAGTGCACTACTACTACTACTACTACTACAGTTTACTACTACTACTACTACTACTACTACTACTACAGTGTACTACTACTGCTACTACTACTACTACTACTATACAACGCCTACTTACCGGTATCACACCGTGCTCCGCTGTAACCGCTTGTACAGGTGCACACATTGGGGGCGGTACAAGAGCCATGGACACACCCACGACTACAGATTGCTTGTATAGAATAGAAATGGATACTAGTCAAGGAAAATAAACCAGGATGATGTCAAACCTAACATTTATTGAAAATTTCCTCCATTAAATTAGGATGAACTAAATTAAAAGATAAATTAATTAAATGAAATAGATAAAACATTGTTTGTATTTTATATGTGTGGCACTTACGTGTGTTACATGTTGTTCCGGTTTGTTTCCAGCCAGAGCAGCAGACTTGAGTCTGATAATATTGTGTCTGGTACACTGACCGGGAGTAATATTCTGTATAGGATCTGAAAACGTCAAGCTTGTTGGGGAAAATATGAATTATACGGGATGTCATTTCCCCTACTGATATTTTATAATAAAAAAATTGTAAATTTCAGAAATTTTACCTTTATCAACAATTCCAGAACTGAAACAATTAAGATCTACACACTTTTTTTCGTAATTCCTATCATTTACTGGCGCAGTTATAGGCACCAACAATTTGAATACAGCAACAAATATGTTTAGAAAAATGTGATATTTTTTGTAATAATAACTGGGCATATAATATCAATACATATGTACTCTTATTTAAAATATAGAGATACTTAATTTGAAAAATGTATATGTATATGCCTAACAGATAATTGTATTGTGAAATTCAGTATCTAGAAAGGAATTACCTCATTGACAAACAATGCAATTCGGGCTGGTTGTGCATATTGCAACTAATGCAATTGACAGTATTTTCAGACCTCCTTTCAACGGACGGTTTATGCTTTAATAACCACTTTGTTAGTGTTTGATCAGGCACAAAGGAAACTTATTCTAAGAAAGGAATAACCCTTGAGCGAATGCAAACAGCGACCAGGGTTACCGCGTACCCTATATCCTGCACATATTTTTTCTGTGATTGATAAAACTTGAGACACCCCTGCATACAGTAGATATATCAAACACCAACGCCATTGAACTTTCCATTCATTTTAACTGATTAAATAGAAGAGAAAGGTAAATCTATCAGATTGGCGCCAAAGACTATAGGACAGAACATTGTGGTTAAGCGGCATACTTTACACTGCTGCCGAATGCAACATATAGTAATGACTTGTTCATAATTTGCCACCTGAGCTGATTAATCTAATAAAAGGACTGTAGTATTAACAAAAGGATTCTCCCTACCGCCTACGCCATGAACCTTGACCGACTTGATATATTGCAAGTTTCGTTTGAGTTATTATCGTCGATGAAGCACTTTAGTATAAAAATGCAATATATATTGTTAATATGTTGAATTACAGTAAAAAGGAATTGTTACAAATTGAAGATAGAAGAACATTTTACCTTAATAACTTAATTCTAGATTAGAAAGAAAAGACAAAAAGGAGAAAAAAGAGGGATCTACAAGCCCCCCATCTTCTACCTGTATTCCACCCTGCAAACCTGCACATAGAGCCTGGGTCCCAACCCAATGTACGGGCTTCTCCGAATTCGTAGACCGCACGCAGCGGCTGTTGATCATGTCGAAAATCTACGTGCTGTCTGCGACCTCCAAAAGTTGCTCCTCACGCACGAAACCCCACGTTTTCCCCAATTTTGGTCGTAGACCAGACGTAGAAACCCGTACGTTGGGTTGGGACCCAGGCTTTAGTGAAGTACCTTCGGTACTGCTGCCGAGATCCCGAGGTGTAAATCATAACTGATCTACTGCTTCTTTCGGTGCAAACGTATGTCTGTAAAATGTCATAATCTGTGACCATTAATTTTGTCACACAATAAGTATAGTCTAACTCTACCAACCTATATCGTGGACAACGTCTCCAACCAAACAGGCCACAACTAACTGTATATCGGTGATATTGCTGTCTGCTTGCTTGTTGATAAACCTTCACCGATCTGCTTCTCTGTTGAGTGCATACGTGCGTTCTGAAGTACGACATACATGTATTTCATGCATTGATTGACACGGAACGGAGTTCATACATCAATAAAAACGGGACAAAGCTCAGCTATAAATTGATACGAAGCACCTCCAGTTCATGCATTAATTTTAATTGTAAAAATACGGGTCAGAGTTCATGCATTAACTGATGCGGGTCAGAGTTCATACATTTATTGATAAGGGACAGAGTTCATGTATTAACTCATAACTGGCAGGACTCAGTTATGACAACAGGATAAAGCTAGCTCAACCATGAATATATACGGGGCACCTAGACTTCCTTCATTTATTGATACAAGGCAGAGTTCATGCATTAATTGATATGATGCTGAGCTCATGCATTAATTGATGCGGAGCAGAGTTCATGCATTAAACGATACAGGGCAGGGTTCGCGTTTTAAACCCCTTTTACAATGGAAGGCGTCCTTTCTGCGTCCTTGCGTCCTTTGTGCTACCATGCAACTGGCAGCGCAGAGGTCATAGAAAGGAGGAGCAAGCATCGCTATGATAGCAAAATGGATGCTCAATGATCGGCCAGTTATCGGCACGTAAAGCATTATTCATATTTAATTCTTATTTATTTATTTATTTATTTATTTATTTATTTTTGCTCCCAAAAAGGGCCGTGCTACGAGACGCAGAAAGGACGCCGTCAAGTGTAAAGGGTGCTTTAATTGCTACGGGCGGAGTTCAAGCATTAAACAAAACGGGGCAGAGTTAACGCATTAATTGATTCGGACAGAGTTCATGCCATAACTGATACAGGGCACATTTCACGCATACTGAATAAAATAAATAAGAAGAAGAATATATAAAATGATACTGATAAATATCCGTTTGTGAAGTATTGTCACTTTGGGGGCACCCTAAGTTCACCTAGTTAATTCACCTCTTTATAATCAGCAAGACGCTGCTATTTCCATTGGTAACACAGGAGGCTGGGCGAGGCTTTTTTTAAGTAAATAAAAATATTTATTCTCTCCTTGATCTTCCTCTGTCTAATATACCCCCATCCTACACCAACTAATTTCACAATCGTATGACTAAATACTTACTTTAATTAAATGGAAAGAAAGCGAAAACAAATCAACGTACCCTGTCAAAGTGCGGACTTCGTCCAGCTGCTGGAGCAGTATAACCAACAGTACTACCCAGCTGGTCGCACCCATTTTCACGGTTTACTTCCGTGTATCGACTGCAGCACGTTTTAAATGTTGGGACTACTTTTTTTATGCATCCCTAATCTATTACTATTATTAACACTCAAGACCGGCGGTTAAAAGTCCTTAAATGACGTCATCATGAGATTAAGGGTAAGTTATTTGTGTTCTCTTGATACAATATTTATCCACTAAAAGGCGTTTTCAGTTACCTGGGGATATGTAAACTGTTATCATCAGCCTGAAATCTGGGATAACTAGAGGATCAGTGAGGCGATACCGTCTCCGGGTATTGTACCACCAGTTGGAGTAGGCCCATTAGTATGGAAAAAAAGGGATACCACCTTCAGTGTTGTGTTTGACATGCTCTACAAAATGCAGTTAATAAGAGTTCTCGATGTGTATGTTGAAAATTACCATTTGCAAATAAATCATGGGGATTAATAAAATGTAAAATCTAAATTTGTGAAGTGTGGTTAATGGCAAAAAAGGAGGTCAAAGGTCAATTTCAAGGTCACAGTTACATTGCCAATATATGACTTCCTATTCAAGTGCAATAGTAACTATGTGCATATCTCTGCCGGTTTTGGAAATATAAGGGACGGAAATGTTGCAAAGTTCAGTTCATGGTGAAAACTAGGTCAAAGGTAAATTTCAAGGTCACAATTAGACTGCCAGAATAGGACTTCCTGGAAAAGTTTGATAGTGATTATGGGCGTGTCTCTTCCATTTATGGAGATATAAGGGATGGAACGTTGCAAAACCCAGCTCATCTTGGAAAGTGGGTCAAAGGTCAATTTCAAGGTCACAGCTAGATTGCCAATATATGGCTTCCTATTCAAGTTTAGCAGTAACCATGGGCTTATCTCTGCTAATTTGGAGATATTTATATTTTATTTTCACCAATGAATACTGCGATGTTGTACTCTTTGATAGGATGCAACTCGTAAACCGTATGGGAAACAAAAAACAAGAGGTCTCTATCATGCATATATGGTTCCAGAATTAGAGAGTTTTCAGTTTCGGCATCTATTGACTGCCTCTCCCATGAAAATGCACCGGTTGACCCCAAACCTCCTTTTTTTTTTTTTTTTTTTTTTTTGCAAAAAAAAAATCATTTTTTTTTTAGAAAAATTTGGCCTGTTTGACCTTGAAATACAGGTAAAGGTCAAAGGTGAAATCCTAGGGCATATTTGAAATCTACATATATGACTTTCGGTCAGCCATCTATAGAAATTTGTCCTATAATTCCTTCGGTTTGCCAATTTTGGACAAGGGTGCATTGCAACAAGAGCCACAACTCGACCCAAGAACTGACAAAGCCCAAGATTTACGTGGATCGAGTTGAGATTATATGTGACTTCATTTCAAGAGATGGGTATGCAGGCTCTTGTAGTCGATGGAGTTTGGTCCGGGTTTGCATACTTTTGTGCTACCGCATCAAACCTTGTCCCTGGAGGTTATTCACAAAATATCCCGCCCTTTGTATTATTACTGTCATCAACACAATGATATACTGATAACGGAACTCCGCCTGTTTTGGCGTTTCTCAGAGGTGAGATAGGAAGAAAGTTTCCCAAACTTTAATCTTGTAACAATTTACTCTAGTATGAAAGTAATACGTAATATGAAAAACCATAGCTTTAAGCCCTAGTCAACCCATAAGAATGTCTGTCATACCTAATAACGAAGTTTTCCAAGCAGCATTGTGAGATAATAATAACACGTAAACAGCTTCAGTCAGTTCAGGGCTCCGTAACTCAAAGGCATCTCGAATTGTGACCGAGCGCAAGCGCCTCTATTCAATAACTCGGTATTTACTCGCCCCATAAAATAGCCCCGGAATGAAAGGTGATACCGCCATGCAATTCGCGATGCTTTCGAGCTGCAGAGCCCAGGTGAACCTGTGTGTTGTAAAACGCCGGCGTTTAGGTTACAAACCACTATTAAAAATCCCATTCACTTCCATTGTAACGTTTAATTCTCTTAAAAATATTTCCCATGCATCAACAAACACAACACTTCAGGTTTAAATACTTCTACTCAAGGCCTAAACAATATTAAAAAATCAGGGTACATTAATGGCATAGCTTGCCAGTGACATGACATGACCCTTAAGATGCTGCCGCCAGTCAGCCAAAATAAGCACTAAAATGCAGCAGAGGGCAGGGCATGTAAAACTGGCCCCAGGCAGTAAAATTTCACTCTGATATGAAAAATAACACATCAAATTAAAGGTAAATGAACAAATTT